GGGGAATCGTTAAGAGGAGGGACGTGTCCCACAATTAGTTCATTTCAACCGGTCATCTATTCGTGGATTCGCGGCGTCTTGACACCAGTTGTCGCTGTCTGCTCATCGTCTCGCGGCATGATAGGTGTGCGGACGGATGTTGAGTTTGTTCTCGGCCACGGGAGCCTGATGGTGAATTAATCTAAAACGTTCGTTCGCCCAATTTGACTTCTTGAATAACCGTATTCTTTTTGAATTTTAACACGTACCCATCCATCAACAAAGACAGCCACTGTCGATGGTTATGAATGCACTGGGGGTGAAGTATTTAGGAGAGGTAACCATCATGCCACTAGGTACGTATAATACGAGTTTCCAATTTCTTTTTCGGTAGCCTAATTCTGCCATTATTTCTAACTGTTCACGACACTTAGGTTATCGCTGTGCGAAGATTGCCTGTTCGACCGCATCCCAACCCTTTCTGGCAGGGATTTTATCCCCATTTTTACGATAGCAGGAAAGTAGGACAGCTAAGCAGTAGCACAGCACTCCTTGTGCGTCCATCATCCTTAACTGTAGCGACCGCACTCAAATCCTCTCAATTACCTTCCAAAACTCGCCTTTCCGCAAAATGTAATGGCTTCAAGAAAATGGCGGAGACTATAAAGCAGTCAAACCGAAGCAAAAAATCGGTTCCTGCTTGTTCCTCTGTCTCTAACGAAGGATCTCTGACGGATTTCGAAGCATCAGGCGAATAAACGCCCTGTCCTACTGATCACATCTTCTTCTCAGAGCACAAATCGCAGAAGGCCTAAAATGTACGACCACCTTAAAATCGGAACATCCCTCTTAGGTTAAATAGGATATTTGGGGAAAAAGATATTTCACAAAAGGGTTATACGCCAAAACAAAGATATGTACAGCTGTTGCACAAGTTGGGTAGAGCAAAGTTAGAGTTCACGCTGCACCAGCCACCTGCGCCCGATCCCGCCTTCGGTCTTCTTGACTCTCTCTTGACAAGAGCGAGTGCGTTAGATGCAGTGAAAGTCTGCTTTCACTTAAAACTAATCCACACGCTAGTCACAGACCCTGCAACACCCTGCTCTGGGGCACACACGGTGTACCTCGTTAAGACCGATGGTCAACCTGTGCAATCGGAATGCAAACATACCCCTTAATTATTTAACGTTGCCACCCTTGTTCTGCTACTGTTTTCAGCCAGGTATTTATTGGCTCTAAGTGTGGTGTAGTCCCTTGTGAGCACTAAGTCCACGTGCGCTTATTATAAGCCGACTGGCGTTTTTCTCTCAACAAAATCAGACTAAATGCAACTAAACACGGTTGGGACAACTTTGTTAACCCCAAATTGGGTTTCGTGTGCCTCTCTTCGTTGTTCTGCTACTTTGCTTAATAAAGTTTGGTGGATGTATCATTTCAAGCCGTTAGACATTTTTTCTGACCGTTGACCGTCAAAGAGCGACTTCTTTCTGGGCATTATATAGCCAGTTAAAACAACAGTCACGACTTTTAATGCAATCGCATCGCTAAGGTGTTAACAAGAAGGCGGAAGACGATAAAAGAAAAAAACTACGGCCAATAGAGAATA